AAGTACTGAAACAAACAAACAAAAAAAAACAAACAAAAACCCCCAGATCACTGAGCTTACCAGATTGATTACTTTTCATACTCAGGGTCTAGAAGTATATGGGCTCAAGTTTGTTTTGATGGCTTAACACTGTCAAAAAGGACAAGACTCATCACCTTAGCTCTCCTACAGGATCCATAAAGTTGCTGAAAATGTTGGAATGCAGACATCACATCTGGCCAAAGGAAATCTTTCTCCTTTATCTTTTTTATTAGGAAGGAGCACCCCAGAAGCTCACCAGCAGACATCCCTGGGGTCTCACTAGCTGGTCACTGCACATGCTTAATTGCTGTGGGAGGCAGCCCACTGACAACACAGCATACTGGGTTGGGGCTCAGTGGCAAGCCCAGCCTCTGACCCACCACAGCCCCAAACTCTCCATGGCAGTCTCTGAACCCTCTTTTTACCTTTACCTAAATATGCCCAAACATTTATGTTGTTAAAAAAAGTTATCTTCATTATTGAGAATGAAGCAACAAAATATTCTTTAAAAATAGAAAAAGGCTTCAAAAGGCAATTCCTGTTAACATTTTGGTATGTTTTCAACTTGCCTGTTTCTGTACAGGTTCTGCATATGTAGCAAGACAAGTGACATTTAAAATGTCCCAGCAGCTTCTGCAACCTTTTAAGAGAATGGCAATATTTATCTTTAGATAAGTATCTTTTTATCTGGGAAATGCCTTGAATGGACTTCTTTCAGAAAGAATATAAGTACCATTCACCTCTACCCTGCCTTCCACTGGTATGAAAGGCAACAGTGAAAAAGAGGGTTCAATTGAGACATTTTGGAAATTCCTATGGGTAACACACAACAGAGGTAGGATGCACGAGTAGAAAGAAGTGTCAGATAGGAGGAGAGAAGGCTTGGCTCAGGCACAAAACAATTCCTTGATAAGAAATATTTTCATTATCTATTTATCAAACCACCCCCAAAATTGGTAGCATAAAAGAAAATTTATGATTTCTTAATATTTGTGAGTTTATAAGGATCCATTGGGAAGCCCACAATTAGGGACTCATGCAAACTTGTTGTCTGAAGACTCCAGGATGAGGTCTTCACTTCATGTCTGGTGCATCAGCTGCCTCAGCAGGAGCACTGGGGAAATGGCTGGGCATCTCCCTCGCACATAGCCTCTCCATGTGGCTGACCTTCCTTGCAGCACAGCATCTCAGGGAAGTAAGACTTCTTTTGGAAACATGCAGTCCAAAAGGAGGAGCCACAAGCTGCAAGTTTCTTTTGACCTGTTCTTGGGAGTTACACAGCATCTTTTGTCTGAAAGTTTCAGTTGATTACAAGGGGACTGCTCTGAGTGAGCATGGGTGGGATCTATACAAAGAAGCACATCAGTGGGTTCACTGGAGGTTTTACCTTTCAAGACCATTACCACAAGAAATAACTGGCAAGTTCCTAGGAGCAGCAATGTCAGATTTTGAATTTGAAGATCTTGAATTTCCCAGGTAGTAATTATCTTTATGACTTTCAAACTATGTAAAATGCTAAAATTCACAGCAATCTTTATTAGCGAGGCTTTGGGAGGGAAATAAAAGTAGGTGAAGTGAAGCTGAAGTTCTCTGAAAAAAACAAAAACAAAATTCATTTATATTAAAGATTCTGCAGACTGGTTGACCTTGGCTGAGTAGAATATCCTGACAGTGGAGAGATGGAATGTTTTAGGTCGAGAGCCAAAATTATCTTTGGCTATCCTAATCCCTTTAAGTCATTTGCTTTCAACCTCTGTATCTGACCTAACATCCTCCTATTTAGGTAAAACTCTGAGAATATTTCACTAAGCTTAACAGACCTGGAGCCTCCACCAACCCTAAAGCTAAAAATGCTGTAACATCTCAAATCTATAGAAAAGATTTCTCCTCTTTGCTATAGTCTACCTACCTAATACCCCCACCAAGTGTTTTGTAATGGTACTTTTGTTCTGTGGCTATAAAAGTTCACCTTTTCCATGGCCAAACACATCATTGAGGGTAAGTTGAATCCATGTTCCTGGGCAATGGTCACTCGAGTATATCTGTCTCAGAATGAATTATTTATTTCCTCTGGAATTATTTGATATTGACAATGCCATCACCTAAGAGAATTTTGAGAAGAGGTGACAGAGCCACAGGCTACAAGGGCCATAATAGCTAGGAAAGGGTGGTGTAGAGGCAAGCTGTGGCTGACAAGAATCATAAGCCACTTCCCTACTCTCTTATCTTCACACGGTGGCTTGTGGACTTCCTAAAGTGTAGTACATGGGGCTGAAAAATTCATTTGGATATTGATGAGAGGGGAAGGATCAAGGATTTGGTTATATATAAGGGCACACAGAGCTCAGACCACATTACACATTTACCTCTCGAATCTTTATTTTAGATAAATTTGGGCTCATAACAAAAAGCCTATAACTTAATACACACCAGCATTTGCCATTTATTTCGATGGACTCACAAATTTAACTACACATGGGAAAATCCAAGCAAGGGAGTGTAATGAAATCCCAATAAGAGTTGATCTTTGACTCACAAAAAATCCAGTTGATTTAACGTAAAAGATATGAAGTCCAAGTGGATTATAGGATACATGAGCCCCCAAAATGGCAGGACGGGCTTGCCACATTTTCCATATTCAGCTTCCTATCCTTTTATCTCCATCCTGCAACAATTACCCATCAGACCTCAAGAAAATAAGATGCATCACCATCTCATGCTCAGTAGTATTTTCAATATAAATAGCTTAGTTCTGCCTGCTGTGCATCTGGGGAGTTGATGGAAACACAATAATGCCAAGGCCATTTAGGGTAGAACTAAAGAAAGATTAAGGAGGGTGAAAAGCAGAGCTCTCTGAGAAGGGCAAAACCCCAAAGCATCAATTCCAAGTGAGCCAGAAAAACTTCTACTTGAGCCAGCTCAAAATCTGTGTTAATTTTCCATTGCTCTGACAAAATACTTGAGATGATAATTAACTTAAAAGGAGGAAAGGTTTATTTTAGCCTACAGTTTCAGTTCATGGTCTCTTGGCTCCAATGCTTTTCAGTCTGTGGCAAGACAGAATATCACAGCAGAAAAGCACTGTTCACCTCATGGTGGCCAGGACGTGACACAGAGGGAGGGGTAGGGACCAAGGGTCCCCATATCCCCTTCAAGGGCATGCTCCCAATGACCTAACTTCCTTCCATAAGATCCTACCTTCTAAAGGTTCCACCACCTCCCAATAGTTCCACAGGCTGGTGACCAAGACTTTAGCATACAGGTGTTTCAGGGACATTTAAGATCCAAACCCTAACAAAACCACAGGCCCCTGAGTCCCCTTCCCTTTTCACACAGTAGTACAGATTACAATGATGCACTAGACTCATCCCCTATGATCAGCAGTTACTTCCTGTGAGAGGAATCCACTTCTCCATCCCTGACACTGGGTTTAAGATTGAATTTGTTTTGGCCAGTGGATGTATATGCCACTGTATTTCACCAGCTGCTTTTTTCCTTCCCTCTATGAGAATGGTGAGTTCCAGGCAGGAGCTGCCTTTCAGCCTGTGTCCTGGAATGAGAAGACACAGGGAGCAGGACCTCAGTCAACTATGCACAACCAGTGAAAGGCAATGTGGATTTAAAGAAAACATGACGGTCCTCACCCGAGAACCTAGGTGTTCCTGTAGCATAGTCTTGTGAGTGTGTGTGTGTGTGTGTGTGTGTGTGTGTGTGTGTCTGTGTGGCGGGAGTGCTGGGGATTGAACCTAGGGCCTTGTGAATGCGAGGCAAGCACTCTACCAACTGAGCTATATCCCCAGCCCACCTGCAGCATAATCTAACAAAAGCTAACTAATGTGCTGGGGGTCACAGACTTAGTGCTCACAGCAAGTGAAGCAGAGTATGTGGTAAAACCATGGGATGACCAGGTTGTGGTAGCTGGGATGGAAGCCCAGTGTAAGGGTAGATTCCAGTATTAAACTTAGTTATACAAGTTAAAATTTAAAAGGCTGCTGATTTGGTTAGCCACCACAGGGCTAATATTTACTACCTGAAAGGTTAAGAAACATACAGGTAAAAATGAAAAATACAGGGCTGGGGATGTAGCTCAAGTGGTAGTGTGCTTGCCTAGCAAGCGTGCGGCTGGGGTTCGATCCTTAGCACCACATACAAAAAAACAAAAACAAAAACAAAAAACAAAGATGTTGTGTCTGCCGAAAATTAAACTAAACTAACTAAGTAAATAAATATTTTTAAAAATTCTCTCTTAAAAAAAATGAAAAATACAATGACCCAACTGTTTTTCATAATTGTTTTAGAGATCTCCTAGGAATCTTTAGTTCAGAAGGAACAATGCTTTAAACTCTGGGTCCTCCCTACCCAGGTCTTTTCTTAGAATGAAAGGAAATTATTTTTTATTTTAAAAGTTCTCTCTAAAAATCCCGAGTTAGATTCTCAAGCTTCAATATAATCTGCAACACTGATCAAATGTAATCATCAGTCTTTAAAGTGCCTTCTATACAGATGGGGATTAGCAAGGGCATAAACTGATTCCATGGAGCATTTCATTTAATTGATTTTATCATACCTGTATTAGGTCTGATCCCAGGAAAAAAGAAATAGCCTTGTTATAGAGAACCACAGATTACAGCAGCTTTAATTTAGGTTAGATTTTTCATATAGGTGAACTGTAAATATCTGAGTATTATAAGAGCTGACTACATACTTTCAAGCTTTTATTTCCTGTCAAAGGATCTGATATTTTGCTCTCTTATAATTAAGAAGAAAGGATTACTTATCTCAAATCAATTCTAACAGAAAATTGTATAATCCCAGGAATATGGGGCAATACTCCTTTTTAACCTACTAGTAGCATTTCCAACAAAGGATACATCAGTGCTTCTATGAAAGCACATGGGACATAAATCAGACTTGACTTCGGACTACGTATAAGGCCCTTTTTGATTACAAACAATAACAGCAACAACTTGTTTCTTTTCTCCTCTTTATTCACAAGTTGATTGTTAATGAGAAAACACACAGGGTAAGATTAACATTGCAACTTGGATCTTCAGTCTTGTTTTTCTAACCCAAATTCTGATAAAGGACACTCTTCTCATAACATTCTGTCCTCTCCCTTCTTTTGTGCCTTCAGAGTCCTTTCTAAAAGGAAATACACTGCCTGGCATTCTATATGATTCCTAAGTTCCAGGGGAAAAATGAAACAGATAAAGTGATATCTAAGAACACTGAGAACTATAGCTTCAAAAACAAGACAATAACTCAGATTTTCTTGCTTTAATTATTCTTTACAGTGCCACAGTAAAATGAAGTCCAACAGAGTACTGATACTCAATAAATGACCTATGACTTTCACTGATCAATGAAGTAACTGGAACAAAGCTCAAATATAAAAATTGATTCACTATTCTATTATACAGTATTGAAACCACCATAATAACATTTAAACACCCAGAAAGTTTGAAGTAACATTAAATAATAACTGGTAACTCCAAAATACCGCAACATCTTTAAGTGCCTTCTGAATGACCAAAAACAGATATAATTAATTTTGTTCAGTATAATGTCAGTGAAGTTTTTTTTTTTACACAGAACTACATAGTTTTTAAAAATTGGTAACCCATGTAAGATACACATTAAACCTTTAAGTGACTAAACTGTTCAATAAATAGAACTCCACACTGCTTTGCTGTTACGGACTAATGAGCTTATAATTAAGGAAACCCTTTTAAGAAATTCTAGTCTATAGAATGACATGTTCAATGTTTGGCCCTATTAACTTTCAGGCAAAAACCTGATTCCTTTATAAGACGTTTAATTCCTCTGAATACCACTTTTAAGGGGCTTGACTTGAATTTTGTCAAAATAAATCACTAGTAATGTGTGGCCCTCCAATCAATGGGTTCTCCATGATCTCAGTTCAGTGTGAGCCAGCACACTGACTTTTCCATGAGTTCTCCACAGCACCAACTTTAAGACTTTTCCACAAAGCATCCTGCCCTTCTCTAGATTTTTGGTAGAGTGTAAAGTTAATAATGGCATGTGGTGTTCCTTAGCATAACCTGCCAAAATGTGATGATTTCCTTGGAAGAAAAGCCATGGGCTGCGATCACACGTCTGAGTTGACAGACATCCAAATGGATTCTATATAAAAAGAAAAGGTTTGTGTCTTCTGGAATATGAATGTCCACTTTTAACAAATTCAAACAGATCCCGACATAAACATCTTCGAACTTGATGGGTTTCACATGACCCATCATTTCATAGATCCTTGGCACCAAATCTCTGGACATTATATAACCCAGCCCACTGCAGTAGGGAGGGAACACCTTGAAAGGATACTCCTGATATGAAATATGGTTTTTCTGGTAAAATCCTCTGTAGGAGTAATTATCAATGAGAGGATAACCTGTGAAAAACTTCTCTGAGTGGTTTAAATTTAAAAGATACTTCACTAAATTACCAGTATTGATGAAAACGTCAGTGTCTGTCTTCATGATGTACTTGGCATTGGGGCAAAACTCAGTTACCCACCTGAAAGCCATAATGGTTTTCAAGGTCAGGTTGTTATATGTGTCTAAAAAATCTTGTCGTATTATGTCACCATAAAGAAGGTGCTCATCTTCTAAGGACAACGCTAACATTTTGTCTTCCATTTCAGCTTGCTGGCCTAGTAAGAAAAATGTAAGAACCTCATATCCCCACCAAGACTTCTTTTCACCCCAAGTAACCCTAATGGCCTGCCTGGCTTTCACATCTGAGGGGTGCGAGGTCACTAGGATGACCAGAAATGGGTTTTGATGAGAGCAGTTTGAATGCTCTCGAAGTGTAAAGCGAAAGTCTTGTCTATAAATTGGCTCATACTCATAGAAGTACATCCAGTTCACACGCTCTATCACATTATAGTGGGGAAGGCTGAGGTACCACATCACGAGGAAACTCAGGAGAGACAGCAGCAGAAGGCTCCATTTGAGGGATCTCAGTGACATCCTACTGGGAAGGGCAGTTAAGAGAGTCAGGGCCATCCACAGCAGCTGGGAAGGACGTAAGGCACAGGTTCTAGAAGATTTATAAAAAAAATTGGGTTAGCACTCTACCATTCAAAACACATTTTCAATTGGTATTTGAGAACAAAGGATGTACAGCAAAACCCCAAATCCTGATTTGAATGAATCTACTTAACTTCATCTAACTATAAGCAAATGATACCAACAATCAAAAGTGTACTTTAGCTTTTACATCAGGACCAAGGTTAAGACATATCTTTTAATTATTTGAAATGAATACTTCTTATCCTATACAAATAACTGTCTTTTATGAAATATGATTTTTTTCCTTAGATGCCTGGAAGGACAGAAAGAGATGAGTAATGGTAAGTTTAAAAATCAATCTACAATAAAAACAAATGAAATTGTGTTTCTTCTTTTTTTGCTGCCATGGGAAAGAAAATGCAGTAAAGGATTTAATGCAAGGATGTGTTACTAGCAACATGTCCAAATAAACCAAGGGTCTTTCTCAGCTGTATGATCTGATTCTACCAAATCTGGAGTAAGGAAAACCCTATGGCAAAAATTATTTTATTTATCTAATTTGTTCTTTTGGCAATAATTATTAATGGTGGCCACTGATGTGGGGGATCAGATAAAGGTGGAGACTTCACCTGGAAGGTGACACAAGTACAATAACTTTCTCTTGTTTTTTTTTTTTTTAAAATTCAGACTATGAAACAGCTTTCACTTGCCCCAAACAACACCCTATCTCCCTTTTACTCAATGCTCAAGTCTAGAAGCAAGTGTGTAATTAAAAGTCTATCTTTATACCGCCAATCTCCCTCCGTGGTTGTATCTCAATTTCCTGTGCCTTTTGTATGTTGGGAAATGGTCTGGGTGTCACTGCTGCTCATAATTAGAAACCACTGAAAGCCCCCAATGAAGCATCCAGGGGAAAAAATCTGTCTTTAGTATTGAGTTTTCACGTTTCCCATTCCAATCTATTCAGAAATCACACACCAGATCAGAATCATGCAAGGGAACACTTCTAAGAACACTTGCTTTTACCAAAAGTCCAGTTGAGACAAGGAAACAGAGCTATGTGATTCAGCACCTTCAGACTGGCTTTCGCTCTGGCTCCAGACTCCACAAGGCTTTTGTGCGCCTATGGACGGCCCAAGGTCAAGAGTGCCTAAATGTTCACTGGACATGGTCTATGTCAGCAGAATGCACCAAACACTAATGAGACCAAAGGAAGAGAGGAAGAAAAGAAAATCCCAAGGCAACAGTTCAACATGGCAGGAGAGTACAGTACAGACTGCTTCCATCAAATGCTAAGGAATTTCAGTGAAAGGGGCAGATTGATAACATAAGAAGGAAAAGGCTGAGGAGGCTTCTCATAGCTGTCCCTTCACCAACAATTATCTAGGCAATGGTTCCTGGGAATTCAGAATTTGCTGTAGAGGATGAACATTAATGTCAAAGGTTCTACCTTGGAATGACCTTAGGGTGTCTGAACACACAGCTTTTCTGCATCTTCATACATGAGTATGACCAGATCTTAACACGCCTTGCCTTCTCCATGAGGCCATACTCCCTTGCCCTGATTACTTCTGGACCCAATAATCTTTTCTATTTTTATTGCTTTCTACATCTGTAGTCATACAATGTAATGGAATGTTTCAGTAAACTGTCCCCCCTTTGGTTGCATGTATATACATGTCTTGTCTCCTCACTTACATTCTATTGTCTTTCTTGGCAAAAACAATTTTTCTCAAGAGTCAAAGCACAAGGCAGAGGAAGGCCCACAGAAAGAGTGCAGTGGACACTGACATACTGTTTGCATTTGAATAAGAATACTATTGTAGGTCTGTCCATCCAACTCCCATCCTCCTCTAATCCCTTTATAGCCATAAACAATACATGAAAGAAACAGGAAATGAAAATTTTAGATGTAATTAACACTGTTTACATGTTTTTTTCCTCACTTGTCTAATCACTGCATGTCTACTCAATGCATGACCCTTAGGGAAAACATTTACATTTCAGCCACTGACAACTTACACATTTATTACAATAGTTGTAAAATGCCAGTCTTATGTCTCAGTCTAACAAATCAGCATACTACAACAAATTTCATATAAACAAGAGGAAAGTGCTCTAAGGTGCACCATTTTATAGTTGCACATGGGCAATGGAGACCCTGTTACTCTTCAATAATGGGAAGAACTAAAAATAGCAAGTCTTACTACAAAAAGTTATTTTTATACATTCTATAACCCATGGTTTCTGAAAGTAAAAAGGTGACAATGGTTATGATAGTACTGTGTATGAGCTCATGAAGAAAATAAACCAGCAGAAAAAGAGAAGTTACCCAACCCCAAAGTGGGGAAAGATCAGACTTTCAGTCACCGACAACACAGAGGGCTCTGAAGGCAGAAAGACCAGAGTCCACCCTCGAGCTCTGTCCTTTACCAACCAGGGCAGTGAGGTTTGTTATGATCCTTTCAGAGCCTTGGGTTTCCTGTCCCCCTGCTGGAGCCATCAGTACAGTGCAAACAAATGATAATACATGCAAGGCCTCTGGGCTGTGTTAGGTGTCCATCAACAAAGACCCGCACTCAGCTTCTGTTCCCCGGTTGGTACCTACGCCATCCTACCTGTGTTCTCTAAACTGATTTTTATTGTCAAAAGGGATTCTAAAGAAATAATCTTGAAAAATCTATATTACTTGAACAACAGTACATTGAAAGGCCACAAGTCTATTTCTATTTCTTACCTTCTTGATTTATTTCTTCTGAGGACCTTCAGTTTCACCCAGTGAACATTCAGCAGAAGGCAGTTGTCAAAAATAATGCTTGAAATTTCTATAAGATATGTAAGAAGCCAGCATTCACCTATGAATCGGGGGATTAAGAGTCAAAGAGAGGCAGAGAAAAGACTAGGCATTTTCTGAACCAAGAATATCTGTTTAAATAAAAACTTAAGAAAACTACTTGTTCACAGAATTCACAGTTGATGGTATCATCATGCCAAAAGGACACATGGCATTAAAAACCAGTACAGACTCAAGACTTAAATACGTATCTAGGGGTTGGGGATTTGCTCAGAGGTAGGCTGCATTGCACAAGGCCCTGGGTTTTACCCCTAGTACTGAGGCAAAAAGCAAACACCTGTATCTACATTCTCTCATCCCCTGGTATCTTCTGTCGCACTGTCTCACTTCTTTGATAAAGAACCGAGGTCACTAAAAGAAGTACAACAGGCAACTACAGTGAGACACTCTATTTGTGTCTACTCTTTCTCTGTTCCATAATCAAATTCACAGAAGGCAGCGCTGATGTGCATATGCCAATTACCCCTTTGCAGCCCACTCCTGCCCCTTCAGTATCTCTCCATTCGTGAAAACTCAAAAAACTCAAGACACATTAATAAACCGACAAGCATCAAGGCACAGTTGAGTCTGCTTATATCTTTTTTTTTTCCTGCTGGTCAAGTTTAAAACCAGAGGAGGATATGAGAAATGGGGAGGCACTGACATATATCACTCCTTATACCGAAAACATACTCCACAGGCACTAAAGAGTCAAAGATGGGAGAAAAATAAACTTGTGGAAACACCAAAAGAAAATATGGATTTCTCATAGATTAATACAAAGATAAACATGAAAAGAAATGGCCAAAGTGGCAATTCTCAAAAGAAGAATGCAAATGGTTACTAAAGTAAGAAAAGATGTTTGTGATAGTTTGTATATTGAATGTGTCCCAAAGGGTCATCTGTTAAAGGCTTGGTCCCCAAACTTTAGTAGGTCGGGCCTAGTGGAAAAAAGTCAGGGGGCCTGGCCTGGAAGGAGATTCTGCAACCCCTGCCCTTCCTGTCTCTGCTTGCTTCCTGGTTGCCCTGAGGTAAACAGGCTTCCTCTGTCGCTGTTCCTGCCATGATGTATGTGCTGCCTCACTACCAGCTCAAAATCAACAGTTAACCGACCATGGACTGAAACCTCTGTAACTGTGAGCCAAAATACTATCCCTCTTATTTTGGTAACAGAGATTGAACCTAGGAATACTTAACCACTGAGCCAGCACTGTTTTTTTGAATCACGACCTCACTAAGTTGCTGAGGCTGGCTTTGAACTTGCGCTTCTCTTGCCTCAGCCTCCCAGGTGTGGAATTACAGGCAAATGCCACATTGCTGGCAGGCCTTTCCTTCTTAAAAGTTAATTATCCCAGGTATTCTGTCAGTGATGGAAAGCTAACACAATGTTCAAATACAATGAGAAGAAATATTCTCACAAAAAAATTCCGAACTAGCACGTTAAAAAAAAAAAAAAAAGCTAAATAGCATGCATGAGGGGAAAAGAAATTCTTGTGAGCATTCTCATGTACTATCTAGAGGGAAATTTAAAAACATTTATTATAATCTGAAAATTTTTCATTTTTTTAATGGATATATTTGTTTTTATTTATGGTGTATAGTGTTGTAATTCAATACATGGATAAAATATGTAATGATCAGATCAGGGTTAAAGGCATTTTCTACCTCCTCAAATATTAGCATTTCTATGGGCTGGGAACCTTCAAATTCTTCTCTTCATTTATTTTGAAATGTATAATTAATATAATTTTTTTCTTAAACATCTTTATTTTTTAGTTGTAGATGGACAATACCTTTATTTGTATTTTTATGTGGTGCTGAGGCTCGAACCCAGTGCCTCACACATGCTAGGCGAGTGCTCTATCACTGAGCCATAGCTCCAGCCCCCAAATAAGTCCTTTAATATGAAGAAAAACTGAACTTGGGGAAGGAATGGAATGTAAGAACAATAAATTATTAAAAGATACTGAAAACTAATAACATAGACAACAAGGAAGAGAAAAAGAGAACAAAACCAAATTTATTTCCACATGGTTAAAAAAAAAGTAAAATCAATGTCAAAAATGATATTGTGTCTGCAAAAAAGATGTTTCAGAGGAAAACTAAAATATACTAACACACTTGGCCGATGCAGGAGGAATAAGGAGATACTGATAAATCTTAACATTTTGCTAAAAAATTCACTTAAGAACGTGTATTAAGCTGGGCCTGGTGGTGCACACCTATAATTCCCAGCAATTCAGGAGGCTGAGGCAGGAGGATTGAGGCTAATTTCAGGAACTCAGCAGGACCCTGACTCAAAATAAAATGAGCTGTGGGTATAGCTCAGTGGTGGAGAATGATGGGTTCAATCTCCAGTATCATAGGGAGAAAAAAAAGAATGCATATTAACCTTCAGATTGACCATTGAAGGAATGAATTTGGAACATATGCCTTCTAAACTGAGAAAAGAAACAAAGCAAGTTATCTATTTAATGGAAGATAGGAAAAAGGAAAAAAAACCAGAGAAAATGTGTGGTCAATGGAAAACATGAAAGATGACAGAAGTAAATTTAAATATATTGTTAACTAAGGTAAATAACTCACCTACTAAAAAGGAGGCCTTCACAGACTGGCTTAAAATTCTGCAATAAATTGCTTATAAGACACACACCTAAAACAAAATAACAAAATGTTCAAATATTAGGAAAAAGAAAAGAATATTATCAGCTGAAAATGCCAACCAAGAGAAGGCAGCTATAGTTAAGTTTTAACATTACATATGTATTTTTAAAAATTTTTATTTGTTCTTTTTAGTTATACATGAAAGCAGAATGTATCTTGATGTATCGAATATAAATGGAAAATAACTTCCCATTTTTGTGGTTGTACATGATTTAACATCACATATTCTAATTGAATGGCAACAAAGGGAATTATGTTCCTAACAGAAGGAACTATTCAAAAGATAATTTACCAGTAAAGAAGCTATGTAACCATGGGGTTGTGGCTTGGTGGCAGAGTGCTCTGCTTGCCTAGCACACATGAGGCACTGGGTGCAAACCTCAGCACCACATAAAAATGAAATAAAGCTATTGTGCCCACCTATAATTAAAAAATAAATACTTTTTAAAAAGAAGCTATGTAACCATAAAAATAGCACCAAAATATATCAAGCAAAACCTGAAAAGTTTGTGTATAAATGGAATAAAAAAAGGAAAATAAAATTTGAGGCCAGGCTGGCCCTGGTTCTATCAATCTAACCACCAAAGGGTTTGAAAAAAAGGGGATGGGGCTGATTACCAACATAGCTGTATTTTAGAGTTCATTAGGCTAGGTATGGTGGTTTACACCAATAATCCCAGCGACTTGGGAGGCCAAGGCAGGAGGATTACCATGTTTGAGGCCAGTATGGGCAATTTAGCAAGACCCTGCCTTAAAATAAGAATAAAATGGGCTGGGGACATAGCTCTGTGGTAGAGTACCCTGGGCTCAATCCCCAGCATGGGGTGGATGAGGGGGCAGGGAGAGGTAATTAGGTCAGGGGCTGCACTCTCATGAAGGTATTAACACAGCTCCCCTGACAGTGGGAAGAGTGAACAGTTACTCCTCAGTCCCTCTTATACATCTACTCCTTCTGTACGCGTCCATTTCCACTTCCACTTTCCTGCCACACAATAGATCAAAATATGGCCCTCCTTAGAAGCCAAGCAGATGCAGGCATCATGTTCTTGGACTTCCAAAACCATGAGCTAAATACATATTTTCTTTTAAGTGTTGTCCAGTCTCTTGGAAAATGGTCTAATACCCCAAGTAACTAATATATTAAGCAAACGAAAATTAAGAATGTGTTTCAAATAATATTATTAATAATCTTGATCTAATAGAATTATTTAGCATCTTTCTTTTAATAAAAAGAAAAGAAATACAGTAGGCCATCCATACCCATGGGTGCCACATGTATACAACCAACTGCAGATAGTAAATATTAGGAAAAATGTCTATGCCAAACATGTATAGGCTTATACTCTTTGCCATTATTCCCTAAACAGAGTCTAACAACTATATATGCTGTATTAGGTAATACAATTTACAAATTATTTAAAGTATACAGAAGGATATGTATAAGTTACATATAAATACTATAATATTTCATATATGGGCCTTGAGCATCAGAGGACTTTGGTGTCCACAGGAGCCCTTGAACCAATCCCTCACAGATACTGAGAGACTACTATATTTTTTTCAAAGACTGTATAAAACATTTATCAAAAAACTGGTATCAGATTACACAGACCACTCAATAGTTCTAAAAACAAAACTGAATATAGGCTACATTCTGTAATCACAATATAATTACAAATCAACAACAAAAATGTATGAAAAGACATTTTAAAAATTTGTTTAGGGCCTGGGATGTAGCTCAGTGGTAAATCACTTGCCTAGCATGCATGAGGCCATGGATTCAATCCTTAGCACTGTAGAAAAAAAGTTTTGGTTAGAAACTTAAAATAATCACACACATAATTTTGGTTTAGCCCACAAATTTAAAGAGACTATTACACTGTAAATTATTTCAGATATCTTCAGATGAATGTTGACAATACAGTATATCTCAATGAAGCAGATATTACACCAATCTTTAACTTGAAAATTATTAATGAGGTGGGGAGACAAGTATTTTTTTTTCCTGGTTTTAAAGAATGATCTACAGACGAATAGACAAAGGAAAATGAAAGGAAGGAATGAGGGAAGGAATAGGAAAAGTCAGTGGGGTAAATCTGACCTAACTTTCCTATGTATGTGTACGAATTTATGACAGTGAATCATACCATCATGCACATCCACAAGACACTAATTTTTAAAAAATCTGTAAGTATACAACAGAAAGATTAGTAGAACCGAGGGAACAGAACAGGAGGATGGGACAGGAAGGAAGTACTCGAGACTGAATTAGAATAAATTATATTCTATGATTTTATAACTATATTGTAGTATGTTCTATTATCATATATAACTAAAAAAATTTAAAAGAATGATATAATGGGAACAGGGGTGCACACCTGTAATCCTGGCTGTTTAGGAGGGCTAAAGCAGGAGGACTGCAAGTTCAAGGTCAACAGCAACTTAGTGAGACCCTATCTCAAAATAAAAAATTAACAGAGCTGGGGACATAGCTCAGTGGTAGTGCACCCCTAGGATATAATTCCTAGTACTACAAAAATCATCATCACATCATCATCATTACTTGTATTTTAAGGGAAGCAAACTGGTTTGGTTGAAAAAGGAAAAACTTTTATAGAAGATGGAATGACAGAACAAAACTGTCTCATTTTGCAACATCTCATGAAATTACAGATTCAGTGCTGATTATTAATCAGTGTTTTGATCATCAAATTCAGGACTGATGAAGAAATACACATCTGTGTAGTACCAAAGGAAGAGCACAAATATTACATTTTTTTGATGCAAGGACCGAAAAGATACAAACTTTACATTGTAGGATGAGGTGTTGTAACTCTAACTCGATGATCAATCTTAACATTATCAATGGTGGAAAAATACATATTATCTGTCTCCTAATAAGATAAAATGTGAACAATATTACTTGCCATGTATCCTAGTTGAAAATATTTGATTGAAATCTAATCAAGTTTTACAAGAAATACAAAAGAAAAGAAATACATAAAGAAATACATAAGCAAAGAAATACCACGAGAAAACAATCAAGGGAATCTAGGAGGTAGGGTTTTAGGAGAAAATGAGCTAGTTTCTTCAGCTAGTAGTGCCATGAAAAAAGTAATAGTTCCAGATTAAAAGAGATCCAGGGACAGACACAGTTGCAATGTATGGCCCTGGCCTGGATCCTGCAGAAATTAAAGACAACCTAGACATTAGGTGATACAAGAAGAATTATTTTGATAAGTGAAATAATGTCAACTGGCTATAAAAAAAATTTTTGAATAAAGACAATGTGGCATGGCCACACAATTGGATATTACTCACCTGAAAGAAGAAACAAAGTTCTAATACATGCCACAACAAATATTAGTTGTAGAATTCTTAAATGCATGTGTCTAAAAACCCTTACGCTATAATGTATGACTCACTTTAAATATTCAGAAAGGGAAAAAATTATGGGGAGAGGATACTAGGGATTGATCCCAAGGGCATCTACCATTGACATACATCCCCAGACTTTTTATTTTTCATTTTGAGACAGGGTCTCACTAAGTTGTTAGGGCTAACTTTAAACTTGTAATCCTCCTGCCTTAACCTCCTGAGCTGTTGGGATTACAGATGTATACTACAGTGCCTGGCCAAGAAGAAAAAAATCTATAAAAACTAGGTCAATAATTGCCTGGTATGGAACTGGGGCTGATTGCAAATGGGCATAGGGGATAATGACATTTTAAAATTGTGTTGTGGCAATGACTGAGCATGTTTAAATTCAGTAAACATTACTGACCTGTTCACTTAAAATAATTTTATGGTCATGTCAACTATACATCAATGAAACTGTTAAAAATAGTAAACTTAAAATTGTTTTTAAGAGTCAAACACTGATGAATTTAGGAGTAGGATGTCAAGAACCTCTGTGTACTTTAAAATAATTCAGTAATAATAATAAAAAGAATTAAGAAAGACAAAAATTTCCTCTCACATTTCTGTTGGCATACAAAATGCAAACCTCCAATGGAGGACCATGGAAGTACGTACTCAAATTACAACACATTCACCCCTTTCATTAGTAATTTTGACTCAGAAATTTATTTCAGACGCAACTGCATATGTCCAAAATGATGTATGTATGTAAGATTACTCACTGTGATACTGCTATAGCAAATAATTAGGAAAACCCCAGAGATTTCTCATAAGATATCTTACACCAACTATGCCTCGTACATCCTCACAACTGTATAGCTGTTTTAAAGAAAAAGACAAGAATAAAGACTGACATGGGAAGATTTCTAAAATATATTAAGGGAAGTGAGATATGGAACAATGTTTATAATGTGTTCATTTTTATGTCAGAAAGGAAGAGAAAATAAAAAATATTTATGTGTGCATGAGAAAAATGATAGAAAGACACACAAGGTGGGGAGGGAGGAATGGGTGGATTAGGAAAGGGACGAGGGCAAGACCCTTTAATGTAACACCTTTTTATATTATTTTGACTCTGAAACTATTTGTGCTACGTATAAATACACCAGCATAACTTAATCAGTCCTTATAGAAATTTAATGACCTTCTAAAGATAAGCAGTTCTTTAAAAAATAGAATTACCTTTTATTTTTATATTCATTTCACATATTTATTGGTATATAATTTTACATACAGTAAAATTTACCCCCACCTTTTTTTAGGAATACCCTTTTTTTAAGTATACCCTTTTTATCATGCTGTTTTGTAAGTTTTTAGTCACATAACCACCAGCACAACAAGACAGAAAAAGTTTCATCTCAAAATTCTACTTTGTGTTGCCTTGTAAAAAAGTCTTCCTCCCATCCCCAGGCAACCACTCATCTGTTTTGTTTTGCTTTTCTACCGCTACAATGTCACATCGATGGAATCACATAGTATCCAGTATACAATCAATCATACAGCAGGCAGACTTCTAAGTCTGGATTCTTTAATTACCAGAAAAAGACAAATTGAAAATAAGTGAGCTAA